TAACCACTTCTTTTAAATGCAAGTAGAACCTGTCAGTGCCTTTAAAAAGCAGTGCATGCAGTTTTCAAATTTCTTAATAGCGCTTTCTTGATTTGCACAGGTATGTAACATTAGATGAAGCTGATAGGCTTGTTGATCTTGAGTTTGAGGATGACATTCGGGAGATTCTTAACCATTTCAAGGTAAAAGATAATTTCAAGGCACCAAGGCAAACCCTTCTTTTTTCTGCCACTATGCCGAAGAAGATTCAGAACTTTGCAATGAGCGCCCTCGTGAAGCCAGTTGTTGTCAATGTTGGAAGAGCTGGAGCAGCAAATCTTGATGTCATTCAAGAAGTTGAGTATGTCAAGGAAGATGCCAGAATTATATACCTCCTTGAGTGCCTTCAAAAGACTCCACCCCCAGCTATTATATTTTGTGAAAACAAAGCTGATGTTGGCTACATCCATGAGTATCTTCTTCTAAAGGGTGTTGAAACAGTTGCAATCCATGGAGGAAAAGATCAGGAGGAAAGACAGAGTGCGATTGAGTTCTTCAAGAATGGAAAGAAGGATGTTTTGGTAGCTACTGATGTTGCCTCAAAGGGTCTTGATTTCCCTGATATCCAGCATGTGATTAACTACGATATGCCTGCCGAGATAGAGAACTATGTCCACAGGATTGGTCGAACTGGCCGATATGGGAAAACTGGAATAGCAACTACATTCATCAACAAGAACCAGACAGAGACTACGCTTCTTGACCTGAAGCATCTGCTCAAGGAAGCGAAGCAAAGAATACCACCAGTGCTCGCTGAGCTAGTTGACCCACTGGAGGATGCTGAGGCTATCGCAAAGGCGAGTGGTGTAAAGGGATGTGCGTCATGTGGTGGCCTTGGGCACCGTATTGCTGACTGTCCTAAGCTGCGGTGATGGCTGGTTCCAGAAGAGATTACTACGGTGGTGGAGGTTACCGAGGAGAGATATGATTGCCTCATGTTACTGTGTGTAATGCTGTTTCAAGAGCTAAAATGCTGCAACGTGAGTTCATCCATGCTTGACATACACCACACCTTACCTTACATGTGTAGACATCAATAAACAATGAGATGACAATCCAGATACAGTAGGGAACTCCTTTTTTCTTTTCTGGAGGGTATTCACTAGTCAAAACCTAGTAATGCATATTGCTTTGTTGTGGTGCACAAGGTGCCACCCACTTCCATCACACCCTGTACCACACACCCATGTGAAACAGTCCGCCTTTTGTTGTTGTACCAAATGATGCTTTTCAATCTTCTATTTGGTAGCCGGGCCCACAAAGAAATTTGTAGAGATCTTTAAAGGCATACTATGGGCGTTTCTTTCCCTTTATTAAATGGTTTCAGTTAGCATGTGAATCTCCAGAGGTACATCAAGACATTTCAAACTGAGCTTTCAAATCCATCTGGTTCATTACTAAGGTTTGGAAATTCTTGTAAATATTAAGTGCCGATACCAAGCGTATAACACCGTACGGAGGTTTCAAAGGTCCAGTGTGAAATTGACTTGCCAGTTGCCATGCTCACTATAAGAGCCAGAAATTAGGCCAGTTTTGTTCCTAGTGGGTCATGAGCAAACCTAACAGATGAGCTCCATTTGACCACATCTTGTGATGGACAATGACATTGTGACCTTCACACTAGAAAGAGGGTAGCTTGCTTCTCTAGAACGCGACTGGGACTTAACGAACATTTTTAATTATTAAGCTTAGGTTTGGTGTCCTATTGCACAGACAGTAGTCCAAAGCAATGAAGATTGTTGCATTGTCGTAAAATTGCTCTAGGACCTAAACAAGTTATCGGGGACCTTAATGAACCACCATTACTCATATGGCAGGAAAAAATCATCACAAATGCAACTTTTAATCACCTGATGTGAATAGGAGAAATTGTCATGAAGAAGACGGATGTCCGCGCCGGATCGACATTCTCATTCAGCCAGTCCGACCACGTTTTGAGCACCCGGCCATATGCCTCGATCCTCGGCACCTCGTCGTGCTCCGACCAAGACCTTGAATCTGGCCTCCTGCAGAAATTCAAACAGAAGAGCTACCTTTAGCATGCAGTTCAAGCAGATACAATAGTGTGGTTAAAATGTTTACAGAGATGGTCGGCGGACTGACTGACCGAACTTTGATGTCGGCGGTGTTCATCCACCAGATGTAGGTGTCGAAGATGAGGTAGTCCACACCCCTCCAATACTGGGCGTGTCCCTCGATCCTCTCGGGCCGTATGATCCGGTGCTCGATGCTGTGGATATTGGGGTCGTCAGAGTTGGACTCGACAAGGAATGGCGCCCAGTAGAACTCGAGCGTGGCGCGGTACTCCTTGGCGTGGAAGATGGTGTTTGATCCCCGTTTGACCACCTTCTTCCTCCCCTTGCTCAAGATGGACTGCACCATGCACACCAGCGAGTAAAACTGGTTCCTGTTGAGCGAGTCCCCCACGAACATGAGCCGCTTCCCCCTCATCCTCTCCATGAACCTCCTGGCGTCGAACCTGATCGAATCCATCCACGATTCACCAACCAAACCATCTAATTGATCAGCCATGAAATATCTAAGGAGGTGTTTGTTGCAGATCTGACCAAGAGGGAAAATGAAACGAAGCGATCGAGAGTCGAGCATACGTGGGGAGGGAGCAGTTGTTGGGCTGCCATTGCCAGTACTGCCACAAATCGTCGTTGCGGCCGTTGGCGAGGCAGGTGAGCTGCTTGGTGAGGAAGTTGCACTCTTTCTCCCGGTAGAGGGGGAGGGACTCGTTGTCGAAGACCCAGCGGCCGTGGGCGAGGTCGCAGGTGGGCGGGGGCAGCTCGATGGGGGGAAGGCCGGAGACGTTGTAGATGTCGGCGTCCGGGTAGAGGTAGTCGTCGATGGAGAGCTCGGCGATGGTGCGCGCGTCCTCGCCGTACATGATGAGCGCGAGGAGGGCGATGGCGCAGGCGAGCGTGGCGACCGGGGACCGGCGGGCCGCGGCGAAGAGGGGCCGGCTGGTGGAGGCGAGGGAGTCCAGCCCCAGGGGGTGGCGCGGGCGCGGCTTGGTGGCCGCCGGGGCGGAGGGCGGCGGCGGGGCGGTGGAGGGCGGCGACATGGCGGCGGCTTGTGGTGTGACCGCCGCCGCGGACGCGCGGGGGCGCTGTGGCTGGTTCGTTGGTGGGTGGGTGTCGGCAGCGAGGAAGAGGGGATCTGGGGGTGGTGATGGTGGAGTGAGAACGGGGAGGTGCCCTGCCCTGCGAAGCTCCGACGACTCCGGCAGGGAGGTGGTGGTGTCCTGATTTGTAGGGTGTTTGTCGGCGTCCGGCCGTGTGGCGTCGGTCAAGATCTATCCGCCGCCCCCCACCACCACACCACCTCTCTTCACGCTGACAGTAGAAAAACTGAAGAAGCGGCTTCCCTTAACTAGACTAGCGTGTTCTGACTTTGGAAGATTCCAATTCATACGCCAAATTACACAGCACAATTCACGTGCCGAGAACAAAACGGACGAAACCTCATTTTCCCATCCATTTTTCATGTATTATCTCTCTCTAGAGCATTTGCAATCGGATCCCCACTTTGCCCCTGTATGTCCGCATGGACGGTCCAAATAGAAGAAAAAAAGAAAAAAGGCATCCGACTGGACTCCTCATATATGTGTCCGTCAATCCTCGTATATCTAGCTCAAATGTGTGTCCGTCAATCCTCGTATATCTAGCTCATATATGGAGGCGGCCGGGTGTTCCGGGCATTCGTCTTATAGGATTTGACTCATCCAGTATCACTTTATTTTTATTTTTCTTTATCTATCCCTACCAATCGCGAGGGAATGGTTGTATGCATGGGCAAATGAGGCTTGAATCGGACACGTCTGGACATGTGTGCAGACGTATAAAGGGTTAAATTTTCACAGTCCAGTTATAGATGCTCTTATTCCTTCAAGATGCATGTATTTGTTTTACCAAGTCATCCAAAAACGCCCTTTGTAAATGTTCAAACTCTGTAGGAAACCATTACATCATTCAATCATTGTTATTTTCTTTCCTATGCTTTTTAGTTCATGCAATTCAAAAGACACTGAGAAATGGCACGCATAGCCATGTCATAATAGGGACAAACCTCCAAAACATACTAGCGTACTGAACTTAATGCCTGCACTGCTAAGTAGAATAGAACCAGGTTTGACAATCAGGTCAGTTTGCCATATTGTATTTATGTTCAAATAGCAACAACTTGGTCTTGTCCTTCTCTTTCAAAGTAACATCTACAATTGAATATTGTGTCATGAGAATAATTAGTTCTACTCGAGAGTCTAGGGTGGCATCTAACATAGTGAATTATGAAAGTTAAGCCAATTCAACAAAAGGTCAATCAACAAGCCATGGCCAACAAGTTAAAGATGAGACAAGTTTAAAAACATAGTCAGAGGAAGGCCAAATATGAAATAAATCCATTGGAGAGTAGAACCCAAATGAAGGAGTCCACACCTACTTTGAATTTAACTTAACGGAGCGGCGAATCCAATAAAAAGGGACTACATTCCAATCCTACTTACCAGAATAAATAGTTGTATGGCATTCGAACCCCACCTTCATGGTTGTATTCTAATTAGCTGGAAATGTATGACCTAAGCTTCTCAACAGGCATTCACTCAACAGAGCACTATAGTGGAGTGTTGAGAGGGTTTGGTCCACCATG